ATGGGGATCGGTCCGCCAGGGTCTTGACCCCTGGCCCAGCACACACTGCACCCGACCCCTAAGGCACTTCCTGCGGGTGGTGGGCCCACAGGAGGGTGGGCCCATGTCCCCTGGCTGGGCTGGGCCCCCAGGCGCTCGTCCTCGGGCACCCTCTCCAGGTCTGGCTCCTACCAGCGGGCAAAAGCTATCCAACAACATACACCCAGGATTTTATTCATTGATAAAATGATTCAGTGATACCGACACAGAGGGCTGCTACTCCCCCTGGATGCTTCACGTTTTAATTATGCTCCTTGGAGATGTGCATCGATGAGTCAACAAAAATTTAAAAGTGGGGCAAACTCTTTCCGTACCCTCTGCTAAATGGGACAGTACATGATCCAGTAACTGAGCGCAGGATTTAGGAGGAATATGCACCGCTGAGTTGATTAACACCGGAGCTCTGCTCTAATGCCAATAGTCGGCGAGAGAACGCCATTCCTCGGAAAGATAAGGGAGCTAATTTATCAAACATCTCTGAGAAAGACTGTTGATCCAGGATTAATTTTGTGTTTCGGATGAGCTCGTCGAGAGCACGCTCCTAATCAGAGATGCTGAATTAATGCTGTTGAGAGGAAAAACATCATTTCTCATGCAGAGATGTAGAACTGTGGTTCGTTTGTGCAGGAAAAGATACGATTTTGCATCAGTTTTAAGAAAACTAAAGTTTTTTTTGTCTTGCATTTAAAATCATGAAGTTTCTGAGAAAAGAACCAAATGTTATTCAAGCAGTACTTTTATTCAGAGCCTTTTTATTAGATATAAAAATAGACATTTCATTCACCAGTGACCAGGAGAGCAGGCCTTTCGTTTTCTACCTCTGCTTCAAACTAACTTACATTTCTGCACATTTTAGATGGGAAATAATGCAGATTTTTATTAAAGAGCAGCTGAGAAAAGCAGTTCATTCTTTCAAGCATGACCTGCTTTTTAATTTTTATATGGATGGATTAAAATCTCAGGAATTGAAAGAAAGCTGGCTGTTGGGTCAGAGTGCGCCTACAACAGGGGGCAGTCTGTTTCCACTCTGGACGGGCCCTCTGATTCAGAACCAGTTTCTCACAAGTGGGCAAAGACGAGTAGACGACGTCACGTTGTTTACTGTGAAAGAATTAAAA